CGAGGAGTGGAGGGGGCTGGCGCGGCGTGGCGACGCAGGGCCGACGGGGTTGATCCAGTCATACTTTGGACGCCGCGACGACCCGAGCAGCGTCTCCAGCCCCGCCCCGCCCCACGCGCACCTCGAGCCGACCTGGGACTGTAGCCAGTGCATCGGTGACCCCCCGTCGTCAGTGTGAGTGTGAGCGGCGTGAACCATAAGACGCAGAGCACAAGTGCGAGTCGCCCGCCCGCAAGAAGCTAGCCGCCGTGAAGGTCCGAGCCCAAGCCGTCGCGGCCTCCACGAGGTCGTCGCCCTCCGCTGTGCACCGCCAGCCCAGCCCAGCCGCCCCCCGGAGGCTCAACAGGCTGACGGCCTCCCCCGGCGCCCTCCTCGGCGCCCCGTCTGCCCCGCCTGCCCCCGGGGGACCCGGCGGACCCGCACCCTGCCGAGAGGTGAGCCGACGACGACGGCGAGATCTGTATAGGGACCCCGAACGCACAGCCCACCCGCGTGTACAACAAACCGCAACAAACGGTCCGACAGGGAAAGAGCGCTGTAACAACATTTTGATACCTGCTATGTTGTTATGAAGTGCTGTGTAAACGAACCGAAGCCGAAGCCCGTGTGTCTGCCCTTTCCTCGCTCTTCAAGCGCATATCCAAACACACTGGCGCAACAAAAACAAATTAAACTCACTTCAACTTGCGGGATCCGTGAGCCGGCCGATGGGCGAGCTAAAGTGTGTGACCATTACATCTCTGCTTGAGGCCCGAAGCTCCGCGTCCGGCCCAGTATGGCACACATGCAATCAACCGAGCTGGTCGCAAGGGCAGCAGCGGGGGATGGGCGCCGGGGCCGGGAAGGGCCCTCCGCTGTCCCACAGACTACATTCCAAACGCGGTGTGCACCGCTGTCCCGGGACGGCGGAAAGGGACATTCCCACCCCTCGATGGCCTCCTGTGCAGCGGCACACCGAGAGCATTCCCCGGGTTACGGCTGCTGCTGCTCCACCACCGATCGGGCTTGACAGTATGGGTTTGCGGCACACCCGCGGCCCTCACAGAGAATGCCGCGGCGCCCGCAAACTATTTGCTTCACCGAAAAAAAAGTAGGGTTTCTCGAAAGACCGTTCATCTTTTGCCAATTTCGTGAAAAGCTTTATACTTTCATGCAGTAGAGCGAACTATTTGAAAAACAAAATAACATTGGGCACATTTTAGACGAAGTTGGATTTTTTTTACACACCCCTGTGCTGCTGTAATTAATTTTTGTGCCAGTGCGTGATGTTGTGTGGGCGCCCCTGACGTCAATCTATTTTCATGTTGTTGCGGACCTCATCATTATTATTTTTTTCCCCCAGCGACAGAGAGAGAGAGAGAGAGAGAGAGAGAGAGAGATAATAGAGAGAGAGCGCGAGTGCGTGCGAGGGACGAAACGACGCGGTACATAAACTACGGCGGTGTGATCCCTGTAAACTAGTTTTGTTTCTCGTGCTCTCCTACACTGGCTGTGGCTGCTGGAGCCTTTGCGACACCTCCGCGGCGGCGGTGGCTCCATCATTTCCCTCCACGGAGGGGACCGGCTGAAGAGACAGCGCACGTCGATGTGAAAGAGAAGGGTTGGGAGGGAGAGGGGGGAGGAGGGTTACAAGGGAGGAGGGTGTTCATGCCAATTACCTGGGTAATAGTCCCTCGGAGGCGGGCCGCGTCAGCCTCGCGGCCGACACAGGGGCTTAAGTGAACCGCGAGGGCCGCGTTGCGTGCTGCCGCCGTGGCCGACCTGTCTGCCGTCGCCTTTACCCCCTTTGCGCGAGGTAGCGGGGGTGGGGAGCGGCGCGTCGGCGGCGCAACGGAGGGATGGCGGGCTGATTGTACGGGGCCCGGAGGGAATTTCAAAAGATTTGGTCCTTGGCGCCCGAAAGTCCTCCTATCTCCCCGCCGCCCCC